ACAATAATGTCACGTGGGACATTTATGACACTCAGATCATATTAAAAAGGTTGAACCCCGCGCCCCCACCCCACCCCTAGAGCTTTGTAAGGATAGTAAATTGCGGAATGTTTGGTGGTTGCCTATATATATGCCAAAGGGTCCCTAACCAAACCCGTAAAAAATTCCTGCAGTATTTTCTCTTATAAAGAAAGTCCTGTGTTGTATTCCATCAAAAGAAAGGAAATTATCAAGTAAGTTTTGGTTAGAAGATCGTTGGTGCTTTAAAGGCCCGTTTCTACTGCAAACTTTCAATTAAATCTTGAATAACATGGCTGGAAGTATGTCTTAAGTTTCTTACAGCATAGACTAAATAAAAAATCCAAAATGTTAACCAACGTCCATCCATAAGAGCCTCAAAAATTTAAACTCAAAATATAACGATCCAGCCTCTGTACCCTAGCCGTTAAGGGAAAAGTCAAAAATTTAAATCCTGGGAACGCCTAAAAATTCGAGAGGGGTAAGATGGACTCAAACTCTCCCTAAGGGAACAATACGTAATTTAACTGTTTAGACACATAGGTCGGTTATTTTTAAAAATGAGTCTTGTTTGTAACAACCCAAGTCCACTTTAGGCAAGCATTTGCCTACTTGTCCCCTTACGACTTTCTATCGCAGTCCCTAATATTCAAACTCATAACATTTGCCTTAACAATAATTTAAGTTGTATCCTAGTACCAATTGAAGTTGTCCAATTGTTACCATGATTCAATTTAAATCATTTTTTACGGGAAATGTCAAGAGTTTGAATCTTGGAGGACCTGACAAAAGGCCACGAGGGATAAGATAGGTTTAGGCTCTCTCAAAGTGGATAGTACGTAAGCTAACGGATTGAGCACAAAAGTCAGGTCGTTGCGCTAAACTTCATTGATCCTCAATACAAAATACATATTGCCATTGTTTATCCCATTATTTTCAAAATGCGTTTTTCTCTCTTCTTTTTAAGTACACATTTTTCAATAAAAAAATTACCTGCAAATCCAAAATTTTTCATTTTTTAACCATATATTCTCCATCAATTTACTATTCCAAAATGCATTTTCAAATGAAAATGGGTCTCAAATAGGCCTATTAAATTTAAATGCCCATTCAAGATTTTATCCAGAAAAGAAATCCCAACCACGAAAGTGTATAGCTCTCTAAAATCTTGAATTAATTTGATCTCGGATGTACAATAACATGACACAATGCATTGATTGGTATAACTATAGACTGTGATTACCAAGTAACAAACTTGAGTGGATATGTGAGAGCTGCGGATGAGATTTAACATCTTTCAACAACATCAACAAATTTCATGATATGGTAGCTCTGGTACCATGTTAAATCAATAATACTAATACTAATACCGAGAAAATGAAAAAGAGGCTAGGATTTTTAATTAATTGAATTATATGAAAATACAAGACAATAAAGCTTTAAATAGTCTATCATATATAAGTAATATGGTAATCCAGCCTAAGCTTAAATTAAATTAATATATTTATCACATATAATCACAAAGTTCAATATTTTGGAAAAGAATAATATCAAGGTAAATTTATTTATATAAATTAATAAAATAATTTATCTATTAAATAATATATCGATTAATTAACAAATTTTCACGATTCCAAGGGTATTCATTTATCGAGGTTCTATGGTACATCAGAGTTCATATTTTTTAGAAAGAAAAAGGAATCAAGAAAGTGTAAAAAAGATTAATGGAGTGGAAAATAGAAATGTGTCGATTATCAAAAAAAAAAAAAGGTGAAAATTTTAACTTTCAGTCAATTATGTTAAATTCCAGTAGGCTGAAGAGAAAAATAATTTTCTTTACTTTTTCAATTTTTTAATATTATTTTTAATATTATAAACTAATAAATAAACAAAAAAAATGTATCATTTGAACATTATACATATTTTTAAAATTAAAAACTATATATATACTGCTCAAAATCATAAATACCACAATTACTTCAATTTTATACATATTTTTCAAATTTTCAACAAAAACATATTGCTCAAATTTATAAATACTATAATTATTTGGTAATTAATTTCTACAATTAGTTTATACCCGAACATCGATTTAAAAATTTCTAAATCTTGTCTAGCTCATTATCAGATTTCAATTCAATCTCTTCTTCTTCATCCAAATCATTTTCAATGCCATTCGACACAAAATCATCTTCATCAGGAGCCCTCATTTCAATTATATAATTTCTATTACCTCTTATAAATGGTTCACAACCATTGATAATTCAAAATTGTGCATTACTAGCATCTCACATCATTAGGTTTACTAACTCCTTCAACAATTGTAGTTTCTCCTCGAACGTCCTTGAAACATTTTTCATCTCATCTTCAGAAATGGAATTAGATGCCATCGAAGAATCATTTTGCTCCATTGGCTCTAGCAAATTGAAGCAAGAATAAAATTTGATAAAAAAAGACTAGGGCCTTCAAAATAATTATAACCTAAAAGATGGACGGGTTTGATAAATATATTTCCCTAAAATTAATAATCAAAGGATAAAAATGACCCTCAAGGTTCTAATTAGGTCAGCAATACAAAAATGAAAATGTAACTTTAAGTTTATGCAACTCAAGGAAGATTTCAGCAGTGAAACTAGAGGAAGATTGAAGAAGGTGATTCGTACTCGGTGCAAATAGTTAGTAGCTTTACGAAAAATTTATTTGAATTTTGATTTTTCTAAGCTAAAAAATCTTACACATTGTTGTATATACTTAATAAGTTTGGGTAATTAGGGCTAATTTAATGTTTGTTGGGAGTTGAGATATGTTGTTTAAAATTAACTGCTTAATTTAATATCCAATCAATGATTCATTTGATACATCACTTTAAATTAACATGTTCAACTTTTCTTTCATGCCACTTATGCTTAAAAATAGGTGTAAAATAATGTGTCAATGAATCATTGATGGACAACAAGTTGGATAACCAATTTTGGACAACAAACATCAATTCGTTTGTTGAGCATAATTTACTTTTTCTAAGTTAGAAAAATGAGTTAGACTTTACTATGCTAATTTGGACAGAATTTTTAACAAAAATACTTCCGCATTTGATCATGCATACACGGTCAATAAATTGAGTTGACCATGCTCTCACTTGCGTAGCTTATATCCTTCATTTGATGGTTGAAAATTTCTCCAAGAATTTCTACATTAGAAATAGAAAAAGATGAAAAATACGGCGGCCTTGAAACAATTTTTCTTTTTCTGGGTGCGCATTACAGTCAGCTATATTTAACCAATCCAATTTAATTTTGTATTATAATGTCAAATTGGGAGATTATTCTGACAATAACGCGTTTGGAGCCGGCAAAGTATAAATATTTTTATAAATTAAACAACACTTCATCCGTGAATCCAATGTCACATCCCCGCCCCCCCCCGCCCCGCCCCGCCCGTAAACTTTGTGAGGATGGTAAAAAGCGGGATGTGTCCCAACAGATCAGGAAATAAGAGCTGCACGTACACTGCGTCTACAAGGAGTCCAATTCCATGTCTCAGGAATCGAACCCCTACACTGCGACTGTCAGCAAGGCGTAAGATAACGTCACTCCTATCTTTTACACCACTGAACTATGTCCCGGGAGGCCACTTAAATCATATTATTATGGACAATACTATATATACAAACTTTTTATATACAATCATTTACTCACTATTCACAATAGAGGGTGCGGACCACAAGCCACCATTTTTTAGATACATGCAAGGTCCACACATTATGTGAGAGAGAGTGAAAGATTTTTGTCGACTATAATTTGTACACATATATTTATCCTAGTATTATTCCTTCCAATGTCATATCATTTAATGAAATTTAATTTTTTTTTTCATTAAACAATGTTATAAAGACCTCATTATTACATAAACAGATGATGATTATTATTCCTTCCAATGTCATATTATTTAATGAAATTTAAAATTTTTTCATTAAACAATGTTATAAAGACCACATTATTACATAGACGGATGCTGATTATTATTCCTTCCAATGTCATATTCTTTAATGAAATTAAATTTTTTTTTTCATTAAACAATGTTATAAAGACCACATTATTACATAGACAGAGGATGATTATTATTCCTTCCAATGCCATATTAATTAATGAAATTTAATTTTTTTCATTTAACAATGTTATAATGACCTCATTATTACATAGACAGATGATGATTGTTAAATAAATAATATTGCACTCTTGTAAATTAAACTAGAAATTGATAATGGCAATATAATTATATTCAATTGGTCTAAAAAAGACATTCAATAATTGTGACTCATTTAATGAGAACATCTTCAATTGTAATATAACATAGATTTAAATTGTGATTTAAATCTTCAAAATCGTCAAAAAAAATTTCCAATGGAGATGCAAAGGAAACACAAAATGCATTTTTCAACTTGAAGTGTAAAAAAAAATGTAAATTATATTCCCAAGAGACAAAATGGATTTAGGCTTTTTTATTGGAGCAAAATTTAAATTTTGATCCTTCAAGATATAAATGAGGATCTAAAAATAATTTTAGAGATATTAGAGTCCGTTTGATTGGTGCGAATTCCATGGAAAATATCACATCAGAAAAATTTGTTTTCTATTTTGGCTGTTGGATACAAAAGTAGAGTTAGAGTTCAAATTCTAAGGTACGAATGCTTAAAACATGGTTTGGCCAACGTCACGGAAAATGCATTCCTATTATTGTGATATATATATATATATATATTTCAATTTACATGGAATTGATTTATCCTTTACAATTTTGCAATCAATCGGATCCTTAATTTATATCAATATTAAAGATGCTCTAAGCTATTTAAATAATAGTGGACAATATTTAAAAAGGAAAAAAAAATGTTAAAATTTATCCAAGTTGAGTGTCAATAGCAAAAAGTGACATCCAAATGCCAACGTAAGATTTATTACGTAAGACGTGAGGATAAAAAGGATAGAAAAGTGAAGAAGGGAAGCAGTAAGCAAGCACTAAGAAATTTCAGCGATGCTTCCTCGGAATTTCAAACATACTTCTTAGAACTTTCTCTGGTAGTTCTCTCTACTTTCTCGGCTCTTTCAATTTTCCCGCTTTTCTAAATTCTATCGCCTTTTTATTCCTTTCAACATTGGGGAACCTTTCGGAATTCACAAAAATTTAACTGAAAACAGTGAATCCTTACTAAATGCTATCAGAATCGAAATTAGATCTGATCTGAATCAGGAAATATATATTAATCTATCCGTTTGCGAAGCTTCACAAACATTTTTTTTTTTTTAAGGAAAAAAAATGCAGACAAGGTACATGGAAAGATCTAGTAGTATGGCGGCAAGAGAAAAACGGCTTTTAGATCCAAGTAGTAGTCAGGAAGCTCAGCCTGACAGGAAACGCCCTGCTCTTGCCAGGTATTTTTACGCACAAATCCGATTATGATTAAATTATAGGATTGTGTGTGTTTTATTTGATTCAACTTACTAAACTTGGATGTTATGGATTGATTAACGTAAAAGGAGTGATAAAAAGCTTAAACAGTTGACTTTCCAAGTGTTCATATGTTTTTATCTCCTACTTAAATTAGTAAATGCTTCAACATAATTTATATCAGATTATGCTTTTGCTTAATTGCATAGTATCCAGTTGATGATTTCGTTTTTGTATGCCTTTCTGAAATTGGTTGTGTGAGACTTCTTATACTATTGATAAAGAGATTGTCGTAAATTCAGGGAAAGTTTGATCAATGTGCCCTTTTATGCTAATCTGTGTCTACATGAATATATTTATGCTAAAACAATTCCTGTTGAATTTGTGTGCTGGGAAGTTGTGGCGTTTTACCTTTTGAAACTCATTGGATCTTTCTCTTGCTTATTGTTAATGGAGGTTGCATAAAGTGTTGTTTAATATGGGTACATGGTTGATGCAGTGTTATTGTTGAAGCTCTAAAGCTGGACAGTCTGCAGAAACTTTGCTCATCATTGGAACCAATTCTTCGGAGAGTTGTAAGATTTATTAATCTTTTTTGACAAATTTATTTTTGTAATATGAATATAGCAAAGAAAATAACTTAACTAGTAGTCTAATTAGTTGCAGAGCATTCATGTGATCTTCAATTATTAACTTGAATTATGAATACCACAAATCTAGTAGACTTCAAATAAGTTGATCATAAGCTCAAGTCGGATACTTCTGTTGCATGCCACACAAAAGAGAACTGAAGTTTTTATATATACTTTATTCATGTTGATACCTTCTTAAAGAAGTTACTACTAGTGCCTTATGGTTTACACTTATATAAATGTGGAAGCTTAGTCTGAGTTTATGACTATATCGCAACCGTTCTTGTCCAAAACAAACACTGTCCTCGTATTGCTTCATTATAGATTGTCATTTCTACAACTTATGTCCTTATCTCTTTAGCCCATAATCGTTGCAGAAGTATCATGACTGTTGTGTCCACAGATGATGAAACAAGTAAAGTAACACTGGCTATCCCTGTAATGCTACCATATTTATTTGGAATTTAGCTTTTAAAATTATTTTCAGATAACGTAGGCTTATTTCCATCAGTTTTAAATGCTTACTGATGAGAGCCATGCTTGTTGAACGTTTTGTGCAATACTCTTGTACATATAACATCCCAACTAATAATGACTTTCCACTGGTCAGGTCAGTGAAGAAGTAGAGCGTGCTTTGGCGAAATTGGGCCCTGCCAGGCTTAACGGAAGGTAAGATTTAACCAATTTCTGTGGACCTACTGACTTAATGTTCAAATTTCATGTAGTTGTAGTTCAATATGTTCTCCTTTGGACACATTATATACCAACCTTAGTAGTTGCATGCTGTGAGTGGTGCTTAGACAAGTAGTTTGGAATATTTTCAATATTGCCGCAAGTTCTGACTTGTAATCTATATTATACTTCATGTTTGTTGGACTTGACTCGTATCCGAATGAGAACTATAGAAGATTCCAAGTATGCTTTAGCTTTCCAGCTTAGATACCTTCCATGAAAGTGTTTGTTACCAGCGGTTCCCGTATACCTCTGATTGAACGACGGATAATCAATCTTTTGTTCCCTCCACTATGTGAGATTTTATTTTATACTCTCAGTTTTCACTTTAAAGGCTTTGTTTCGAGTCATCTTGCAATATTTTATTCGTTCATGATACTAGTACGTAAGACTTGATTCCGAACATGTTAATTTTTTCCCTTTGCTGTGTGCTTCCTTTTTGTTTGTTATAAGGTCTATATCCAATTATGCACTGTATTTCCCCCACATTAACATATTATATTATCTTTGAAAAAGCTTGAATACAAGATGCAAATCATTTTGCATTCTATGTCTTGTTACTTAAGATAAAGGCCAGTATTTTAATGTTAATTAAACTTGCTTTAAACCTCGTTGACGGACACTATTGTTGATAAATTTCAATGCAAGTACATGATAGTTATCCCAATTCTGGACCATAACCCCTAAATATTTAAAATGCTTCTGCATGCATGAATACTAGAGCTTCCTTGATTTAATTTGCCTTCACTTCTATCCATTGAACTCGTGACAAATATGCAGAGTTTCTCCAAAAAGAATTGAAGGTCCTGATGGAAGGAATTTACAGCTGCACTTTAAGTCCAAGTTATCGCTACCCCTATTTACAGGAGGAAAAATAGAGGGAGAGCAGGGTGCTGCAATCCATATTGTCTTGGTCGATGCAAGGTCAGGCCATGTTGTAACATCAGGTCCAGAGTCCTCTGTTAAATTAGATGTTGTTGTGCTCGAAGGCGATTTTAACAATGAGGATGATGAAGGCTGGACTCCGGAAGAATTTGGTTCTCATATGGTGAAAGAACGTGAGGGAAAGAGGCCACTTCTTACTGGGGACTTACAAGTGACACTGAAGGAAGGAGTTGGAACCCTTGGGGAGCTGACATTTACTGATAACTCTAGTTGGATTAGGAGCAGAAGATTTAGACTTGGTCTGAAGGTTGCATCAGGTAGTTGTGATGGTGTTTACATCCGTGAAGCAAAAACAGAAGCCTTCACAGTTAAGGATCACAGAGGAGAATGTAAGTACTTTCATCTAAAACATTTCATCAGTAAGTTTGTCTTTTGCTATCAATTAGGCGATAAATCTGTGAACTTCTGGCTTTTTAGTGTACAAGAAACATTACCCACCCGCACTTAACGATGAAGTTTGGAGATTGGAAAAGATTGGGAAAGATGGATCATTCCACAAGAAGCTTCTTGAAGCCGGAATATCCACAGTTGAACATTTCCTGCGACATGTAATGACAGATCCACAGAGGCTTCGGAATGTAAGAATTATAATTAATTTAGTTGTCCGGTTCAAAAGTTTTGGTTCTCTTTTTGTGAAATTATTTCCATATGTTCAGAACAGATTTTCCTCTAACTGTTTTAATTGTTTCAGATACTTGGTAGTGGAATGTCAAATAAGATGTGGGAGGTGCTTGTAGAGCATGCAAAGACCTGTACCCTGAGTGGAAAAGTGTATATATACTATTCTGATGAGCTAGAGAATGTTGCAGTTGTCTTTAACGATATCTATGCATTAAGTGGTTTGATTGCTGATGGGCAATATCATTCAATTGATTTTCTTTCCCCCGGTCAGAAGGTAAGTGATCTTGTTGACTGTCTTCTCAAACGATTATTATTCACATTCATTTTAGACAAACATTCAATTTTACTCTACTCTAGGACACTTTCTGTTTCTAGATCGAAGATATATTTATGAAGTTGTTCCATTTTATTGATTGACATTAACACTAGATCCTCGCCCCCGGAGAAATGGATTAATTCTATCCATTCAAGCTCCATTGTGGACTATTCTGGCTCATTGTAACTTCTCCTGATAGATGAATTTATCTCATTTCGCCATCCAAAACAGTGGAAGTTTCTTAATATTAAGTTCTCCATTGCCCATTTCCCCATTTCCACTTTTCCTATCTTAGTGGCTAAACACAGCAGGTGTGTCCCTTTTCCAGTTTTTCGTGCTAAATGAAAAAACGACTTACTGTTAACTAATTCACAGTAGTACTACATAGTGATTAACATATTATGCATTTGATTTTGCACCATCTCTTTTCACTCTGCATTTCATATTTGACAAATATTTGTAGGCAATGACTTTAGTATGTGAATAGGTAAAAAATTGCCACTTGCTTCAGTCCTAGGTCTTCGCCTTCTTGTTGATAATTAAAACTATCGTTCCATTCAGCTTCTTTCTAACTATGAATGTGAATGTAATCACCTATGAAGCTTGCCCGCTCTATCAAGTGAAATGAGAAGAGTTCGACGGACAACTTATTATGGTTTAATTTGCAGATTTTTGTGGACAACTTGGTGAAGGAGGCATATGAAAATTGGGCAAATGTCAGAGAATATGATGGAAAATATCTTCTGGACTTTCCTCAAAACAAAAATTCAGCTGTTTCCCAAAACGATCACGTGAATAGCTTACAAGACCAGCCAAACTCTTTTGATCATCTTGGTCAGCTCTGTCTACAAAGCCTTCCAGCCTCAGTTCCTGCCGAGCATCCTTATACGAACGCGGGATTGACCCTTGGAGGTAACAAATGCTCTCTTCATATACAATAAATTCAAGGCTGAATATGCAATACAATCTAATGTGATATGCGATCTGTCTTCTAGTTGTTTTGGAGACGTTTTTGATGTATTTGTTCATTTTTCACCAGGTCATAACAACGATATTGGTAGCAGCTATACCATGCAATCACAGAATACGGATCTCAATGTCGCTATACAGTTAGATGGCAATAGCTTTGCGTTCCACACAACACAACAAGCTCAGCCATCCGGAACCCAGAATACCCTCACCCTTTGTCCACCGCAGTTGAATACGCCTAGCTTACACTCTGTCGCTACACCAAATCTTTCTATTAGGGGATATGAGGATATAACTGAGGATGACATCCGCATTCAAAGTCATGAGATACTTGAAAATGAAGACATGCAAGACATGCTTCGAATGTTCAGTATGGGTGGTCATGGTTCCTCGTCCTTTAATATCACTGACAATAATTTCACATTCACACCATACACGCCTTTTAACTTAGATTTCCAAGAGGATCGTAGACGTTCATCTGGTAAGGCTGTTGTTGGGTGGCTCAAACTTAAAGCAGCTCTAAGATGGGGCATCTTCATCAGAAAGAAAGCTGCTGAGAGAAGAGCACAGATTGTAGAACTCTTTTAGGTATGGTGGCCTCTGTTTATGGCAATACTATGGTGTTTCAAGAATGAGTTCATGTTAACCGGGGTTCTAATCAGTATCTACTCAAGTTTTTACTTTTGGAACAGAATTTGTGGGATGATTCCATATAGTCTCAAAGTTACCAAGTATCCAATAAGCGTTTGGGAAGATTATATTGCCCAGTGAAGTGCCTGTTCAATACTTAGCATTGGACAATATCAATCAATATAGTGTGCAAGATTTTAACTTGTTTCTTTTTCAAAGCCTAGTGTTATCCCAAAGATTGTGCCAAACATTCGCCAAAGCCAAACCTTTCGCAGGACGAGGTATAGTATCCTCGAGGAAATTGCTCACCGCCCAGCTTGAATGGCCAGAGTGGTGAATGTTAGGAAATGGGCAGCCATTTGTCTTCTTATTGCAAGCATAGATCTCTTTTATAGTTACCAGTGTTGTATCTGTATTACTATGTTTTGTTTACGTTGTAGTTCTACATATTTTACCAGTGTTGTACCTAGTTGCTTAGTAATGGACATGTCGCTGGAAGATATTAGAATATAAAGAGCTTTATGGCATAAATACTTTGATCTATTCATCATTTATATCTATATGTGAACAGGACAAGGGATATGCATACATTTCTAAGCTTTTTTGCTCGACATCTGATCCATTAGGTGCATAACACAACACATAATATTACATGAAAAAAAAAATGTAATATATTATTCAGAATCCGAGACTTCATCTTCATCTTCTTCCAGTATGTATACCAAGGCACGTTTTCTTGCAGCAAAGACGCACGCCACACCTCTTGATGCTGAAAAGTAAATTATGTTAACATATCAAACTTTTCAACTACTACCAAAAAACAAAACAAATTCCATTCGCCAATTACAGGAATTCATACTCAAGCAGTCCAGACCTGAGATCCTACTAGAGAAAACGTGATTAGATGAAGAACTCACCACTAACTGCCAATGGAGCTACCACAAAGTGAGAAATTCCTCGGACCTTTTCATTTTCCAATTGCAATTGCACGACGCGATCCTAAAAAATATACAGGTTACATATTTTTTGTTCAAATTGAATAATACTATTCATAGTTAAGATTACCAGTATTCGCCCTACATAGCATGCATGTGACGGTTATTTAATGCATTGATGTGATAGCTTTTTATTGTCTCATGTATCAAATAACAAACTATCATATGTATACCACAGTGGTGACTAACAACAATCCCAAATTGGGGGAAGAAATTGAAGAAATTCTACAAATGGATCTAAGGGTTGGCCATGTACAAAGGAACGAGAACCAAAACCTATAGGAACATTATGTTTTTATTTGTCATAATAAGCCTATGTTAGAAGCATTGTTTCTAGGTGTATAAACACCTTGATTAAAAAACAATTTTGGTCAAATCAATTTTTATCCATGTATTTCGTATGACTTGCAAGTACTACACACTTCTTCATCACTATTTACCCCAATTTATAAACACCTTGCTAAACATACTCCAAAATCCTTCAATTATCTTGCTTGAGCTTAGATATGGAATATAAACTGCTTTTATCAAAACGTACGAGGAAGATGCATTTTCCAAGAATCCCACACTACATATAAAAACTAAAATAGCAGGACACGCCATTATTCATGCATAATGAAGTTAAAGCATATACCTGAAGTTCATGAAGCCCCCAAGATTTCAGAACAGCGGATCTTGAAATAGATACAAATGGAAGGTCAGCTGCTTGTACAATGATCATACAAGCATTTTCGGAGTTCTCACTGCTGGTATCTACTTCATTTAATAAGAATACAATTTGTCCTTCCTGTTTTACATGACGGTTAACATAACAAGTGAATAACTTGTGTGTTCAAAGGAGAATAAATAATATGAAAATTTACGCTTACTTTATACAGAGACAGATCCGCACATTGATAACCATCTGGGAGACGTAATAGCACAGCTTCAAATGAAGTATGCCCATTTCCTAAATTGCAAGAATCATCTACGAAATGCCGTGCTATGCCAACACAATTTGCAATATTTGAGAAAGTTTCATCTGGTACTTTAAAACATGTGTAATTAGTAAGCCTCTGATGGCCCGTTCCATGATTCATAATGGTTTGTGAAGCTTCCTGGGAATGAAAAAGTCACAGTAAAGTTCATGAAGCCTAGCACATACTCTGCCTATCTATAAACTAAAGGAGTATATTCTGTTAATCAAATTTATTCAGCACAAAAACCAGAAACCAAATAAAATACAGTTTGTAAAGGAAATTGATCTTCACAACTTGTCCATCGCAAATTGCGTACCCTACTTTATTTTCTTGGGCATGGCAAAATAATTGTCTATTTTCTTATTAATTCTGATTTTAGACATGGGACTCTCATGTCTCATGTGAAAAAGTTGTAGGGAAAAAAATCAAAATCATATTTTTAACTTTTAGAAAAAGGTTTGCATTAATTCATACTAGGAAACTCATCTAGGACACATAAAAATATGAAAATAAAAGAAATCTATTATTTTAAGAGTTCCTTGTCTTTCATTTACAGTGTTACAGAAGTATCTACCTTCACAATTACGAGGAAGTCATGCTTACTTTAAGGTGCATTTCACGTCACCTATTTAACATAGTGCAACTTCAAACATATTTACCACTGTAGAATTGACTTCATCATGTAATTTATGTTAGTAATAGCACAAAGCAGATTTAACATCACAATATCTTCAAAGATATTAATAATATCATGATGCAAAGAGTGACATTACCTCGTAATATGACATTGACACAGGAAAATTAGAAGAAGATGCAACAGGAAAAAGGGGCAACAAATCCGCACAAATTATCTTTTTGGAAATGGTAGCAATGGGCACCTCCAAAGCCTGTTTAAAACTGCAGTTGCAATACATTAGATCTTGCAATTTTAAACTACAACCAATGATAATAAAAGATATTGGTGGTTATATTAATTTATGTATACAGAAAATCCCAATATTTCTAGAATGGGCAAAGTGGCATGGGAAATGTTTTTATATGATTTCAATGCACATTAACAACTAATGACATTCTCAAAACCATGAAAATTCTTATCCATGTTACGTGGACTCGCCTCATGGATTACCACTGTAGAAGCTTGACACTTGGAAGTGGGTGGAAATTGCATCCATCCAACAAGCCTATATGTTATTATATTAGCAGTAGACATCAGGAAGGCAGTATTTTCTAGTGAGGTGATATCCATGTTTAATAAACTGAGGAAAAATCTCTCATGTTACACAAAGAAATTGAAATTTATTCACAGGCATAATTTCTACATACATATCTGCAACTTATGCATCATGTCCATGTAATAGAAGACAACATGACCTAACTTTTACTTTGAGCACTCATACATCATAATACTGTTTCAAGAATTGAGGCCACTATTTGTTGACAGCTTAAGTCAATAATCACTGAATTTTATGATGATCTCATTCTCACTTTCTAAATATCATCTAGTTGAGTCATCTCCATATTTTCATCTTTTTACTAGAAATTATACAGCAGGAAAGCTAAATTTTGCTGGAAAAAATTGGATAAGTCTGTTTGGGGCAGTACCTCTAAAAGTAAATCCACTGTTCTAGTCTATGTATGTTGATTAATTCTATTGCGCAGATCATGGAAAGATGAGAACTGAAAACAGAGAAGGCATACCAAGACTCCATTTGTTGAAATTCTTTCATTAAGGACCTCTTCAAGTATTCAGAATCTAAGAATCCCCCAAAATGAGCCAATTCTCGGATCCGCTGCTGTGTTTCCCTAAGTGCCAAAAAAGAAAGATTACAATCAAAACAGATGCCAAATGAAGCTACAGTGTAAAATATAAGGCAGCCACCTGCCAAAAAAAGGGGTAGCCTGGAAATGTCATGGAAAAACTCATTCTGCCAAATTATGAAAATAATTTGTACTGTAGCTATAAATAATGGCAATCACAACAATATCATACATGTTCTCAAAAGTTTATAAGAAAGCTCAAAAGTGGAATTGTCATGTTGTTTCTCCAAAGTTAATTCAAGGTAGATGCTTTAGCATAAGAAGTTCAGTAAACTTGTTAACTTCTCTCGATACTTTTCCTAAGTAATAGCTCCTCATAAATCTCATTGACTAAGGTTCAGAGTTGTGGTCTATACAGACATTACACATCGAAAGAAAAAAAAAAGATAAAGATAAAAACCACTACACGATCAGCAGGTGTCCGCTTCATCAAATGTTAGTCTATACCAAATTTTCATTTGATAAATTCTACAAGTTCAAATGGCCATGCAGTTCTTAATATTTGCCAGCCAAATTATGAACATCATACTGATAACAACTTCCAACAGCTAATTAAAATAACATTTTCATGTCATTAAAATCTAGTCAATTCCTATCGGAAGAATTTCAATTTGTTAGTTCAGGATAATACCGTTCAAAGCTGAGTTAATTTGGAAGAATTAAGTTTATTAGACACTACAGGGAAGTATATTCAGAATCATAGAAGGAAGCCATTAAATGATGCTTACATGTCAACTTCAATATTATGATCAATCTCTGTGGAATCCAGAAGCTGACCCACAGGATCTTGATCATATAGAAACTTCAAGAATATGATAACAAGTTCACTGCATTAAGGGAAAACTACATAAGTTTGAGGACAATGGAGAAATTGTGGAGACAGATGAAGAGCAAATAATAGCTGAACCTATTGAAGGGCAGAAGCTGATCACTTGGTTCGGACATTAGCATTTTCACAGATTTCAGGAGCCAACTGAAAAAATTTGAAAACTGAATGCAAAAAGTATTAGAGCAGCCAAGTGTAAAAAGTATTAATGATGAAAAGGATGACTTATATTTCAAAAGGTGCAAATAACATAATTTATTTTAATTCCTACAACCAGATTGTGCTTGAAAACTAGTTCATGAATCCCAAAGCGGGAATACCTCTTGCACTTCTTACTTTTAGTGAAGAACATTTTATTTTATTTTTTTAATTCATGCAGTCAGTTTTCCAAGATCTGTATTCTATTTTATCCGCAAAAATGTTAGATTGCAAAATTGTATGTATACGGCCCAATCATATACTTATAGTTTATGTGTCAGGATTCAGGAGAAAAGTGGTGCCGATAAAATAAAATGTACTATCAACCACCCATTTAGGAAGAAGGGGCAGAACAAATGAGCATTGTATCATACTACTTCAGGGCTCACACACACCTGTTGCACCACAGAAGACAAGATTCTCATAAATCGTTCAACCTGTACGAGCAACATTCCAGCCTTCTCGGTTGCACTGTCAATCAATTTCTCATCCAGACCAATACCTAGATATCGTGCTCGCCATTTTGAAAGCCCTCTCAATTCTCCCATTCGAAATCCAATAATTTCTGCAGCAGGCTGGAAACAAGAACTTTAAGCTTTCACGGAAACCTATGCTCAACGCTAACATATTTAAAATCGCACAAATAGCTGAGAGTAAAAAAATTTACGACCACTGAGTTTGTGTAACATCATGAAGGAAAAGTCAAGTCAGGAAAGTGGAAAGTCTGCTTTCTTGTTATAGAATTTAAGTGCATATTATTTAATTATTATCTTCAACATATTTTATTACTCGTGCATGTGTTCAAATAACTTAAGTTGTTAAAGAGGGCGACTAGTATATTATTTAAAATATTGTGTTCAACACATTTTATTACTCATGCACTTCATCCAACTCATACATAGTTCAATTTCATTTTGTATCACTCAGTTTCTGATTGATAGAAACAATTATTCTTTCTTACATCCCCTCACTTTCAGGCAGTACAACATACCTAGTGAGAGCCATGGCTAGTATTGCTTTATTTAAATTGATACGACAAAAAGTAAACAAATTCGAGGATTCAGTGATAGCTTCTAAGTTAAAAGCTATAATAACCAAAAAAAAAAAAAAAAAAAAAAAAAATCTAAAACCCTTTTTCTTAATATTTTGAAATATCTTAGCCATCCTCTTGATACCCTAAGTATGAATAAACCACGTGAATTGCATATAATTTATGATGACCTGTTCCATTTTGAATGCTTCACAAGGGAATATATACCGCTTCACCTAGAGAATTAACCAAAAATTGGTGAAGTGCCGGACTTGTCCTTGCACCACCTAACAGGCTTAGAAACTCTTCTTGAGAAGTGGAGTCAAGTCCTACATTTTATTACACAAAACTACGAAATGGAATCAAATAGAAAAGAAAATGTACCTCTTCAATTAGTTTTTTCAAAAAGTTACCTACCATGATGCATAATAAGGGAGGTTAGAGAATTAAATTTCTCGTGGAACATATGGATGGCATCAGACCACTGCTTAGACATGACAGAAAGCGACGTCTTAACTACTTCAATTAAATTCTCTACATTGGAAGCCTGCTGAGCCACCTGGTGAAGCTCATTTTTCCTAATATTGATTAAGAAAATTAAAATGCATGCAACGAATTAGAGTCAAACTTATAAATGGTAATCATGACTGCATGTTAATGTCACGTTTATGATCACTGAATTGTTTACTATATATACCAATCACTCCATCCAAATAAAATTCCATGCCGAGCTTCATATGAATTTTCATTCAAAGTATAAGCAGTATATTATGAACACTATAAAGTAAATCACTGAAGCTGTCACAAAATTCAAATATTGAAACATGGAGAATAGTTGAATACAGTTAATTAATAAGACATTATTAAAAGGGAAATGATTAGTATCCAACTAAATAGTAAGAAGGAAAAACAGAACTGAAGACAAAAGGATGATGAATCCAAATGCAAGTAACTAAGAAACAAAAATGAACCATGTAAACAAGAGAAGATCAGAGCAAATTTGGAATAGAAACAAAACCACAAATGAAGGGTGCATAAAATAATTATCGAGTTTCAAAATTCCAGGCATCCCGACAAGAATGAGGATATCAAATTCATCCATGGAAAACACAAAAAAAAAAGTACGAAGTCAGTAAATAGAAGAAATGTTTGGTTAGCACAAGGTAGAGGAAAGGTGCTTGCAGGTTCAAACAATGCATTCAGAGTCCATACCTTCTTGATAGAGTCAAACATCAATGGGAATAACATCTTCGTCAAGAGGTATGATAGCATAAGTATGGACTTGTACAAGTAGACTATCACAACACTCTCCGAGTGGGAGTACATGAGATGAGCTACAAGCTGAGCATGGTCTAAGTCAGACTAAAAGTGCTCTCAGAACCGTGCTGGATAGGCAAAAGATATAAAGAAATGTTCTAGTCATGTCAAAAGCTGGAATGTCGCATCTTTAGAATGGAGGAAGCTTTCTTTTTAGCAACAATTTGAGTCAAAGTGGAAGCAGCAAAGAGGAGGTTGGAATGCACAGAAGATCATGTAAACAGACCACTAATTGATTTGAGTTCTAGACAAGAAGATGTCAAATCCTATAGAAAATTACTAGATGACACCCTGTAATAAAGCTTCCATAATGAGGTAACCATTTAGAGTAAACACCAAATTAGAAATTTAATTTTATAGTTAGACTTTTGCTTACCAAGAAGTTTTTTTCCGTCTTCAACTTTCAAGATTATAAGCCTTCTCTAAATGAAGATACCACCTTGTGTCTTACCTGAATTCCTCTATGCATCAAATATGGTATGGAGAGGATATGCAGGTGACTGACAAAAGCTTAAAAAATTCTAATGATGAGCTGATGTTTGAGAACCAAATCCATTAGAGCTGTGGCTTATTAAAGAAGTTTGCTAGGAAAAAGGATATACTTGATTTCTAAAACAGTTAAACTTCATTAAAGGATAACAAGTATATTTTAGAGATTTTAAGGATCAGTCACCCAGACCTAACCTTGTCCTCATCATCACCCTTTCCTTATAGTAGAATGAGAGTGTACCAATCCAAAAAATGAATGTAAGGCACAGAGTAGAAACTGGAGCAGCATAAATAATCAATTACACTGAAATCAATACCAGAAGCGATGCCAATTTCTACATTACATTTGTTACCTTTTTGAAAAAATTGTAGTGTCAAGAACTAAACAGTGGAAACCAGACATTTGATCGTCACTTGATTCAATTTCAGTTTCAGCAACTAGCCCACAGCATAAGACTACTAAATGAAAAAGATCATTTGACAATGCCACCTAGCAAAAAACATGGAAAACATAAGATTCCTTCAAAAGAGTAGGTCAGTTGTGAAATCAAACATAGACTATAAGAATTAGAAGCCAAAAATTATTGAGGTGCTATTACAAAATTCTCTTTAAAAGTAATGTACCAAAATAAATCAGAAAACAATAGAAAACAAGAGGACTAAAGCTCGTGTTTTGGAAAGAGCATTTCATCCAAGTTGATGCATGAATCTACACTTAAGTCAAATTATTTGAGTTCCCTAATAACTAAGATCAATGAGGTGTAACATGCACTAATGGACACCACCAGGGAATATGCCAAGACCAGGAAGCATTACCCAGTTTATCAATGTTGGCTGATTTTAATAGCCCAGTATTACGTTGTTGTAGTTTTTATTTTTCATCTTCTAAACTTGTTCATAGATTTTTGAGTTCCTGGCATGCTTACACTACAAAATACCATGCCACTCTAAAATTTTTACATTCAAAAGCCCATATGAATTTTTTAAGCTCAAATCTTTGTATATGCAATAAAAGCTCAGTTGATAACAAGTGATTGGACGTTTGTCACACAAACTGCTGTTGAAGAAAACGTAAACAAAACGAAACTAGAACAGAAAAGGTGACCTTATAAAAACTTAACTCCAATGACCAAGGTGCTATGGGAATGGATGAAGTGTCAAATTTGAACTGATATTTCAAGAAACCTATCTCATACTCATGTTTAGAACCCTTCAGTTGTTACTAATAGGTCAAGTGATGTAGAGAATTATAGAAGGGGAAATGTAACGTCCCAAAATTTTATAAAATAGAATTTCTTGGTGATGAGGATTTTTACCTAGATGCCTTTTTATAATTTTGAAAAATAAATAAATAAATAAAATTGAGGGACTAAAGTGAAATAAGTATTAAATTCAATTTTAATTGTATCAAATAATTAAGCATTGATAGAGGGATGATAAGTACATCGATGTTAGACTCGTTTTGTAGCTTGTAATTAATTACGAGTCTCCTATCCAAGAAAAAGTTATTTCGGATAAGACCCAATCAAGATAGATACGATTAAAGGAAAAAAAGGATAAATAGAATTCTAAGTAATTAAGTATCTAATTACCTAACTTAATTTTTATGCAGCCAGTTTACAAGCGATCGTTTTACTGTTTGACTAGGAAATGATATGTTTGATATATTCCAAACTCTAGTTTTATCCAATTTTTTATGGAACATGGCTTTGGACTTTTAATTACACACTAACTCAAGTAGATACTAGGTTATATATATAAATACATCACATGGGATCAGAACACATATAATGAAAAATAACAGGCACAGTAGAAAGCATATACACGTACCATACCATTGAATATAGCGGTCGAGAAAAATAGAAAGATTTAGACGTCCATTCAGATTTTTATCTTCCATTTTACAGTCTTTCAATAGCGAGGTAAGATATGTAACATGCAAGTGGTTCATTTCCTTATGCTTTTATGTATTCAATGATATATGCATGAATTATCAGTGTACCTTCGGGTTCGACCTAACGAAATATGTGTTATCAATGCGGCATGGCAGGTCATAATGCTAAAGACTGCAAATAAGCCCCTTCAAAGAAAGATAATGAGCAAGGAAAGAAAGGGAATGTCAAATTTTTGTTTTAACTCGGGATGAGGCAATAGAGGATTCAAACGTGATGACAAGTATTTTCATGATATCTAGGATTGCTAGTTATGATCTTATTAACTCTGGAGCTACTCATTCTTTCATTTCTGTTGCATTTATTAATAAGTCAAGTATAGTATGTGAGGAATCTAATAGCGTTCTACAAGTCACTATCCCATCGGGCAAACCTTGAAATACTAAAGGCAATAGAGGAGTCAAAAGTGATGACAAGTATTTTCGTGATATCTGGGATTCCTAGTTATGTTCTTATTAACTCTAGAGCTACTCATTCTCTCATTTCTGTTGCATTTATTAATAAGTCAAGTATAGTATGTGAGGAATCTAATAGCATTCTACAAGTTACTATCCCATTGGGCAAACCTTTAAATACTAATAAGATAGCAAAAAATCATCAAATATAGACGGGAAGGACTTTAAGAATGACTTCTACATATTATGCATAAAAAAATTAAAAAAAAAATGATGCTATTTTGGACATGGATTGATTAGGGTTCATGAAAATTGGGGTGTGACAGTAAAAGGAGAGAAGAAGAGAAAGGAGAGAGAATGGAGGAGGAAGATAGAAATGCGAGAAGAATTAGACAAATAGAAGTAGAATTTAAGAAAGAAGATATCTTTATTTCATTATCAAAGTTTTTGTTTGTTAAAAAGCATAGGACAACTTTATATAGGGTTTCAAGGAACCTATTTTAAGTAGGAAATATCTAATAAAATATATTAAATCAAACCCTAATCATGTTTCCGAAATACACATCAAAATTGGAAACTAGATTATAAAATATCTCTTCTAATATTTCATCATCAAGGTATCAGCTAATCGTGCACTAATTAATAAACATCAAGTCCTCCATCTTCCGCGAGGGGCCTCTTAACTATTGTTTGCATTCTAGCATAGTGATTTACCATTTGGGTTAGTTATAAAGCCCCTAGGAGACACACTTCAATATTTTTATACCTGATGTTGGGACGTTGATAGTGCTTATATAAACGAAAGAAAAGAAAGACATAATAACTGGATGGAAGTAGCAAAATCTTTTTTAAACATAAACGAGGTAGATGACTAGAAGAAGAGAACAATCCATGGAGAATCAGACTTACCTTACAGATAGAAGCATTTATAAGTTGATAGGTAATGTAGTTGCCAACAAGTGGATTTCGAACCACGAGATTGTGTATGTTCTGCATTTTATTTCAAATGAAAACCACAAAGGGTAAAACATTAGTGAATTATCATACACATAACTGGAAGGTGTGGATAAACTGAATGAAAAAACCAGTTTTGAATCATAAAAATTGACTTACAATTTTTCCTATAGGAAATATGCCAAATATACTGAAGCAGATTGTTCCACCTTCATCCCCACTACATAAGATGTTAAATTGCTGACCAGAAGAATCTAACAGTTCCCTGAATGAATCATCACTTTCATCCATGAAGCCACTATCTCCTGGCACAAGTCCAGGCATACGAGGAATTCTTGGAGCAGGAGGAAAGAAACGAGCAGTGCGGTCTTCATAATTAACTACGGTACCATTTCCATTCTAAAGCAAATAGACAAAGTAGCAAGAAAAGTGGCATGAGAAAATTTTATATGCAATAGAAAGATGGTAAAAAATATTGATCACTGTTTAATAGATTTGTACTGAAAAACTCTAAATCAATATGAGTGAAATTCTTTTGAAGAAAAGAACACCATTACACTCGAACTTTACAAAAATGTATGCCCAGAGGACAAAAGAAATTTACAAGTTCCTCAACATTTTAGAACAATAGAAGTCGGTGGATAGCACTGAGAACATCAAGCGGTGTTTCCTATAACCTAGTGAAAGCACATAGGAATATTAATTCTGCATCACCAAAGCCTAGTTCCTTGTATCTCCAGTTATCCACTTACACATATACAAACAGTTATAATTTTTATCTTTATTTGCAAAATTTCAAAATCTAATATACTCTTATACAGTTATACCTACAGCGATATGGGACATTCTTAAACGACCGAGATCACCAATTTGAAATAGCTATGATCAGACATCAATAAATGCAGGTTTGTTTATATATATATTCTTAAAATGCACACATCATGTCAAATACACAATAAGAGTGGAGAAAAACAATCCCTCAGAACCTACTGAATTAGAAATTGGAGAAGTCATACCACAATCTTTCGTCCATCTTCCACCCAGTTGAGGCATATAACAGAAACAGTATGAAACTTCATACTTCTCAGCAGCTTCCCGTTCTACTTCTCATAAAACACCAAACATGATCAGGGATCACCTCGCAGAAGGTTGCCCAATGCCTAGGTGGAATCAAGATGAAAATACATTGGCAAAATAGAATGTGTGAACATCTGTATTAACTTACTTCTACATCGTGCAATGAGATGGTCCCATCTTCAAGCGCAACTGCTATTGACTTACCATCTGGACGCCAACATATGGATGATATGCATTTCCCTGGGTGAAATATCGGAAGTTCACTATTCAATTGGAAAAATTAAAAATTTTGCTAAGATGGCACATACTTTTTCGTTTACCTGGATTCATCATGCACTAAGTTATCAAATCATTTCACATTCCAACTTAGTTTCGTAAATGCTATTTTCAATGTGAAAGTCTCACGTCACTCACAAGCAAAAACTCTAACAGTCAATCTATCGAACATGTTGAATATGAAACCCAACTTCGTCTATGGCACAACAACAGTGGTAAACCAGTAGCCAGCCATCGAAAATTCAAAAAGTGTAACTTATCAACGAGTGTTTGTGTACACGAACGGTTCTGTGCACGGATAAAAATGGGGGTATTGCTTATTACCTGGGGAAATGGTCCAAAGCCTCTGCCAATTGAAGCGATGGAGAAGAAGCTTTGAGTCCTCCGTGACCATGGCAAGTAAATCCTTCTCTGGGTTCCATTCAGCTATTTTAACCTGTCGAATCAGCATAAATTCATTTTTACAGATGAAACCGACACTGGCGGAAACATCTCGTTCAAAGACTACACGCTCTCCTTCGTGGTGTGTGAGAATGAAAATAGTAGTGTGGGGGCAAAAGAGAAAAAGAATAACCTGAGAGGCTATAGGCTTGTCAAATTGCAGCTGAAATGGAACAACTCTGTGAGATTCTTCTTCTTCCATGGATTCTACGAGACTGAAAGCTCGGAGTACGAGTTCTTGAAGTGGTCTAACTGACCCGAGGAAGAGGGCGGGATTCTAATATTTTGATTTTCAACAGTGCGAAAACGTCAAATCTGGAAGTAGGCCAGTCACGTGATTGTAGGGTAGAGACGAAATCTATAAATTAGGTCTTAAAATCAACGTAAATACAAAATTTAATAGTGTATCATGTAATATATTGCTGACTTAAAATTTTACGTTAAAATAACAAACAAATCCCTCATTATCTTAAAAGAGAGAATGTGAGGTTTATTTTTTATTCTTGTCACATAAGTTTTTATATGAAATCGGTTTGACACTGGTTTGGCAATAATAAATTATTCTATTCAAAGCATTCTTTTCACACGTCATTTCACTATTTCCACACGCTGTTTTACTATGATGTCACCTCCATTACAATATTTCTCCATTTTCACACACTACTTTACTTGATTAAAATCAATACTATACTATATATTATATAATAGAGAGACGAAATTAAATATAAATTACAAAAAAAATAGAAAATATGTATTATAAGGTTTTTAAATTAAATTTAAAAAATAAATATTATTTAATTCAAATTTAACGAATGTCGTTCTATCATAAAAAATGTATAAAGATTATTTTATTAAATCAAATTAAACAAATAAAATAAAAGAAAGTTACAAAATTAATAAATATTATTTAATTTAAATTGAACAAATTAAATTTTACCATAAAAAAATTAAAAAGAATTTTATATCGAAATATAATATGAACAAAATTTCATATATATATATATATATATATATATAATCTCTCCTTATTTTAAAAGAGAGAATGTGAGGTTTACTATTCATTTTTGTCAAATATATTTTCACATGAAACGATTTGGTAACAATAAATTATTCTATTCAATCACACTATTACATTCTTTTCACATGTCATTTCACCATTTTCACACACCTTTTCACTGCAATGTCATCTCCATTACAATATTTCTCCATTTTCACACAATATTTTACTTGATTAAAGTCAATACTATATTATATAATAAAGAAACGAAATTAAATATAAATTGCAGACAAAATAGAAAAAATGTATTATAAAGTTTTTAAATTAAATTAAAAATAATTTTAAAAAATAAATATTATTTAATTAATTAAAATTGAACAAATTAAATTTTACCATAAAAGAATTAAAAAGAACTTTATATCAAAAAATAGTATGAACAAAATTATCCATAATATATATAATCCTCCGTGAACGGAGAGAATCTCTTCATCACGGAAAGATAGTCTCTCTTTTCAAAATTAGATAACTCTTCTTTTAACTTTTCAAAATGAGAGCACGGAGTGGTGATATTTTTTTTTATAGTAATTTTTTATTAATAAATATTTATTTTTTCCTTCTTATTTTAAAATAGAGAATGTGACGTTTACTATTCATTTTTGTTACATAGGTTTTCACATGAAATCGGTTTGAAGCTGGTTTGGCAACAGTAAATTATTCTATTCAATCACACTGTAGCATTATTTTCATACGCTATTTCACCATTTCACCCGTCGTTTCACTGCGATGTCACCTCTACTACAATATTTTTCCATTTTCACACACTACTTCACTTGATTAAAACTAATACTATATTGCATATTACATAATAAAGAAACGATATTAAATATAAATTACAGACAAAAATAAAAAAAAATGTATTATAAAGTTTTTAAATTAAATTAAATTAATTTTAAAAATAAATATTATTTAATTTAAATTTAACGAATGTCGTTCTATCATAAAGAATGTATAAAAATTATTTTATTAAATCAAATTAAACAAATTAAATAAAAGAAAGTTATAAAAATTAAATAAATAATATATAAATATTATTTAATTAATTAAAATTGAACAAATTAAATTTTACCACAAAAGAATTAAAAAGAATTTTATATCGAAATATAGCCCTAGTTTGATCCTCCTTCTTTAGAAAAAAATGAATTTTTCTACAGTATTTTGATATCATTTCAACCACATATTTTTTAATAAAATAATATTACACGCAAATTTAAAATTTTTCCTTATTTTTTAACCATACATTTTTCATCAATACACTATTCAAAAATTCATTTTTTTCCCATAAAATAGGACTCAAACAAGGGCATAATATGAACAAAATTATCCCTCCACATACACACACACACACACAATTCTCTGTAGACGGAGAGATAGTCTCTCCTTTTACATGGAGTGATTTAACTCCATGAATGGAGTGGTGATTTTTTTATTAATAAATATTTAATTTTAAAAAAATTAAATATATATAAATCCTTCCTTATCTTAAAAGAGAGAGCATGGAGTTTATTTTTCATTTTTGTCGCATTGGTTTTCACATTGAACTAGTTTGGCAGCAGCAATCTGACATGCAATACTCCTTCTCCGTTTTCTCACACTATCAACTATCAACCATATCCTATAATTTTATTAGTAGTAATATTTTTTACAATAATATTTTGTCACACTATAGCTTTTTTTTTAATTGGTCTCCAGAAACGACGTTGTTTTCTATTTTACTAGCAACTTACATGTTTTGAATTTGACACACAATACTTCATCTCCATTTTCTCACGCTATCAACTATTGACTATATCCTATAATTTTATTAGTAATAATAATTTTTAAATAATTTTTTACATAAAAGTTATTCTTTATTTCTAAAATGTAAAAAGTTACTTATAAGTAAAAAATCACTTCAAGTTATTTTAAAGTAATAAAAAAACTTATAATTGTAAAAGCTATTTATAGATAAAAAAAAATATTAACTTCAACATTTTTAATAAATATTTAGAGTTTAAATTAAATATTAATAAAAAGATTACACTATCTACAATGTAAAAAGTTACTTTTAAGTAAAAAATCACTTCAAGTTATTTAAAAATAATAAAAAAACTTATAATTGTAAAAACTACTTATGAAAAAAAATATTAATCCATCATTTTCCTATAATTGCAAAAGCTACTTATAAGTAAAAAAAAATATATTAACTTAAAATTTTTAAGTGTAAATATTTAGATATATTTAGTTTTTAAAATCAAATATTAATAAAAAGATTATACTATCTAGAATGTAAAAAGTTACTTATAAGTACAAAATAACTTCAAGTTATTTAAAAGTAATAAAAAAATTATAATTGTAAAAGTTACTTATAGATAAAAAAATATTAACTTCAACATTTTAAGTAAATATTTAGATTTTAAATTAAATATTAATAAAAAGATTACACTATCTTTTAAGTTAAAAAATCACTTCAAGTTGTTTAAAAGTAATAAAAAGAAACTTATAATTGTAAAAAACTACTTATAAATAAAAAAAATATTAATCCATCTTTCTCTTATAATTGCAAAATCTAGTTATAAGTAAAAAAGTATCAACTTAAAATTTTTTAAGTGTAACTATTTAGATATATTTAGTTTTTAAAATCAAATATTAATAAAAAGATTACACTATCTAGAATGTAAAAAGTTACTTATAAGTAAAAAATAAATTCAAGTTATTTAAAAGTAAAAAAAACTTATAATTGTAAAAGCTACTTATAGATAAATAATATTAACTTCAACATTTTTAAGTAAACATTTAGATATATTTAATTTTGTAAAATTAAATATTAATAAAAAAATTACTATAAAATAAAAACATAGGAAAACTCCGTACACGGGCATGGAGTGTGGTTTCACTCCATGCATGGTTTCATGGAGTGAAACCACTCCGTGCACGGAGTTTTTCTATTTGTTTTTTAAATTTTATTTATAATAATTTTTTATTAATATTTAATTTAAAAATTAAATATATCTAAATATTTACTTAAAAATGTTGAAGTTGATACTTTTCTATCCATAAGTAGCTTTTACAATTATAAGTTTTTTATTACTTTTAAATAACTTGAAGTGATTTTTTAACTTATAAGTGACTTTTTACATTCTAGATAGTGTAATCTTTTTATGAATATATAATTTAAAAAACTAAATATATTTAAATATTTATACTTAAAAATTTTTAAGTTAATATGTTTTTACTTATAAGTAGATTTTACAATTAGAAGAAAATGAGGGATTAATATTTTTTTACTTATAAGTAGCTTTTACAATTATAATTTTTTTATTACTTTTAAGTAACTTAAAGTGTTTTTTTACTTATAAGTAACTTTTTACATTCTAGATGCCATAATCTTTTTATTAGTATTTAATTTAAAAAACTAAATATATCTAAATATTTATTCTTAAAAAAATTAAATTAATATTTTTTTACATATAAGTAGCTTTTGCAATTATATGAAAAGGAGGAATTATTTTTTTTTACTTATAAGTAGCTTGTACAATTATAAGTTTTTTATTACTTTTAAATAATTTGAAGTGCTTTTTTACTTATAAGTAATTTTTTACATTCTAAATAGTGTAATCTTTTTATTATTATTTAATTTAAAAAACTAAATATATCTAAATATTTGTGCTTAAAAAATTTTAAATTAATATTTTTTACTTATAAGTAACTTTTACAATTATAAGTTCGTTTTACTTTTAAATAACTTGGAGTGATTTTTTTAGTTATAAGTAACTTTTTTACATTTTAGAAATAAGGAATAACTTTTATGTAAAAAATTATTTAAAAAATATTATTATTAATAAAATTATAGGATATGGTCGATAGTTAATAGCGTGAAAAAATGGAGAAAGAGTACTTTGTGTCAAATTCAAAGCATGTAAGCTGCATGTAAAATAGAAAAAGACGTCGCATGCATGGAGTGATAAGGGAATGTAATCTCTTTATTAATATTTAATTTAAAAAACTAAATATATCTAAATATTTGTACTTAAAAAAATTTATAAGTACCTTTTGTAATTATAAGAGAATGAAAGATTAATATTTTTTTTACTTCTAAGTAGCTTTTACAGTTATAAGTTTTTTTATTACTTTTAAATAGCTTGAAGTGATTTTTTTACTTATAAATAACTTTTTACATTCTAGATAGTGTAATCTTTTTATTACTATTTAATTTTAAAAACTAAATATATCTAAATATTTATACTTAAAA